TTTCTTTCTTTTTCTTTCCTTCTTTCTTTCTTTTTTTCTTTCTTTCTTTCTTTTTCTTTCCTTCTTTCATTTTGTAGAGACAGGGTTTTACCATGTTGCCCAGACTGGTCTCAAACTCCTGGACTCAAACAGTCCACCTGCCTGAGCCTCCAAATGTGCTGAGATTACAATCGTGAGCCACCACACCCAGCCTGGAGATTTTTTTATTAGGGCACTGATCTCATTCATAAGGGCTTCAGCCTCCTGACCTAATCACTTCCAAGAGACATATATGTGAATACCATCACGTTGCAGGTTAGGTTTCGACATACACATTTAGGGGGACGCAAACACTCAGACCGTAGTTAGAGTGAAAGTCTGCCTCTCACCCCCATCACACACACTCCCTGCCTTAGTCTCACACCCTTGCAAGAGATTTTGTTTTCTTAGCACCTTTGTTAGTGGCTAGTTGTGGGAAGACAACTCACTACATTTTAGGCTAAAATTAGACATCTGTTTCATTCACCAGCAGCCTCTTCCATCTGTCACTGTGAGAAAGCTTAGCAGGACTTCACAGTCACATGAGTTCCATGGATTTCACCATCCCCTTAGGAACGTTTTTCAGACTTACACTCTATGCCATCATTTCCTTCTCCCCACTCCCCTACTTTTTCCCATCTCCTTTAATCTTGGATTAATGTTATACATAAAAGAACCAAGCATTAATCTCTCTTGCCATAGGTGGTGAGAACATAGTTTCTTTTTATAAATTTTTCAAAGTGGAAGATAAGGAAAAATGCTAACAGTATAATTAAAGATAAAATAAAAGAAGACCGAGATAGATTTGAATTCTTATGAGATGGGGCCTCTGCAAAGCTTTTCATTAAGGTCTAATTTCTGACAGTCAGATAAGGGAGGCCCAGTACTCTTTTCCATTTCTGGGATGTAACTTTAGAAAGAGCTGTCAGAGAATTTTTTTCTTTCTTTTTCTTTTTTTTTTTTTGAGCCAGAGTCTCACTCTGTTGCCAGGCTGGGGTACAGTGGCACAATCTTGGCTCAGCCTCCTGGGTTCAAGAAACTCTCCTGCCTCAGCCTCCCAAGTAACTGCGATTACAGGTGCATGCCACCACGCCCAGCTCATTTTTATATTTTTAGTAGAAAAGGGGTTTCACCATGTTGGCCAGGCTGGTCTCGATCTTTGACCTTGTGATCCACCCGCCTTGGCCTCCCAAAGTGCTGGGATTACAGGTGTGAACCAGAGATTTTGCTTTTTTAAAATTGAGATTCAGGGGGTATATGTGCAGGTTTGTTACATGCATATGTTGTGAAATGCTGGAGCTTGGACTTCTATTGAATTTATCATCCAAATAGTGAACATAGTACTGAATAGGAAGTTTTTCAACACTTGCCCTCCTCCAAACCTCCTCCTTTTTGAAGTCCCCAGTGTCTAGTGTTTCCACCTGTAAAGGAATTTTTTTTTTTTTTTTTTTTTTTTGAGACAGAGTCTTACTCTGTTGCCCAGGCTTGAGTGCAGTGGTGCAATCTCGGCTCACTGCAACCTCCACCTCCTGGGTTCAAGCGATTCTCATGCCTCAGCCTCCCTAGTAGTTGGGATTACAGGTGCGCATTACCACACCTGGCTAATTTTTGTATTTTTAGTAGAGACGAGGTTTCATCCTATTGGTCAGGCTGTTCTCAAACTCCTGACCTCAGGTGATCTGCCCACCTTGGCCATGGTGCCTGGTCTCCATCTGAAGGGATTTTCAAGGGTGGGAGTCCACTAATCTCAATGGGCATGAGCAGAACTTGCTGCCTGATTCCTTTCCTCCAAAAGAAAACTGTGGCTTACTTTTTAATTTTTTCTCTAAACAATAAGAGATCCGTTGTGTGAAGAAAACCGACATGTGGCTGAGGTCATCCCTGGTGACCCTTATAAGCCAAAGGTGGGTAGAAGTGGAAGAGGAGACAGGGACCATAGCGTTAGGAGGCTGTAGGGAACAGTGGGAAGAACGGCTAAAGAACAGAAATCAAAACAAATAATCAAATAGGAAAAGTTTCTTAAAGGCCTAAAGACCTAGACGTTTACAATGATAAAATTAGTTATGCCATTTTCCACGTCACTTGTTTGAATATGGGGGTAGAGGGGACTGATGCGTTCAGGGAATCCCAGGACGAATTCCCTTTTCTATAAGATTATGCTTTGAGAGGCAGGGGTGGGTGGATCCCAAGGTCAGGAGTTTGAGACCAGCTTAGCCAACATGGTGAAACCCTGTCTCTACTAAAAATACAAAAATTAGCTGGGTGTGGTGGCGCACGCCTATAATCCTAGCTACTCAGGAGACTGAGGCAGGAGAATTGCTTGAACCTGGGAGGTCGAGGTTGCAGTGAGCCGAGATCATGCCACTGCATTCCAGCCTGGGGGACAGAGCAAAACTCTGTCTTAGAAAAAAAATAAAAAAAAGATTATGCTAAGGGTAGCATGACCACATACAATCTATTGTCTAAACTGTCATTATTAACGATTATTCTTACACAACAGTCATAAACCAAGACTGTCCCAAGTAAATAGAATTTAAAATCACTCTGGCTAGGAGTTACTTCGGCAGCCAATCCATTTTTTTTTTTTTTTCCCGAGACAGAGTCTTACTCCGTTGCCCACGTTGGAGTTCAGTGGTACAATCTCTGCTCACTGCAACCTCCACTTTCTGGGTTGAAGCAATTCTCCTGCCTCTGCCTCCCAAGTAGCTGGGATTATAGGCATCCATTACCATGGCCGGCTAATTTTTGTATTTTGTGTGGAGACAGGATTTCACCATGTTGGCCAGGCTAACCTGGAACTCCTGACCTCAACTGATCCACCTCCTCCGCCCCCGAAGTGCTGAGATTACAGGCATGAGCCACTACATCCAGCCTCAATCCTTTCTTTATTCATGCAGTACCCACAGTAACCAAAATGATGAAAGTCACAGTGAACATTCCTGCAAATGAGCAGAGCTTAGTGAGAACCATCTTACTAGGCAACTCCAGAGAGAGGCAGATGCAAACACAGAAAAATTATGGCAATATCTACCACATGATTCTCGGAGGAGAGAAGATAATAATAATTCCAGAATCTGAAATTTACAGAAGGCTGAGAATGTACCCGAAGGAGTTTTCACTCTAGATCACACATTATTGACCATTACTACCCTATTGCTTCTCGGCAAGACCTTCTCTCATCTATTTATATAAATTCTATGCTCACACTGAGCGGTTTCTAGGGAGCTTTCCATGACTACCTCACTTCATTTTTATTGCTCCAGGCTTTGAAACCTTATTGCACCTACAGTTAGCAAGCACCGTGTGATTCACATGTAGTAATCTCATCTCCCAGGAAGAAAAGGTAGGGATTTTTATTTTGTGCCTAATACCATTTCCAAACACAAAGGCCTTTAAAAATATCGATATCTATAGATAGTTGGATATAAGTATAGATATCATACACACACACACACACACACACACATACGCACACACACACAAAATAAAGCAGACTGGTTTTGTATATTAAAACTTGGTTAGCGGCCGGGCGCGGTGGCTCAAGCCTGTAATCCCAGCACTTTGGGAGGCCGAGGCGGGAGGATCACGAGGTCAAGAGATCGAGACCATCCTGGTCAACATGGTGAAACCCCGTCTCTACTAAAAATACAAAAAATTAGCTGGGCATGGTGGCGCATGCCTGTAATCCCAGCTACTCAGGAGGCTGAGGCAGGAGAATTGCCTGAACCCAGGAGGCGGAGGTTGCGGTGAGCCGAGCTCGCATGCACTCCAGCCTGGGTACAAGGAGAGAAACTCCTTCTAAAAAAAAAAAAAAAAAAAAAAAAACTTGGTTGGCTAGCCTGAGTGTGGTGGCTCATGCTTGTAATCCCAGCATTTTGGGAGGTTGAGGGAGAATTGCTTGAGCACAGGAGTTCTAGACTAGGCTGGACATATTAAGACCCCATCTCTACAAAAAATTTAAAAATTAGCCAGGTGTGTGGCTAGTTGTGAGAAGATAACTCACGTTTTAGGCTAAAGTCTGACATTCATTTATTTGTTTGGTTAGTCCTAGCTACTCAGGAGGCTGAGGTGGGAGAATCGCCTGAGCCTAGAAGTTATTGGCTGCAGTGAACTATGATCAAGTCACTTTACTGCAGCCTGAGCAACAAAGTGAGATCCTGTGTTAAAAAAAGGAAAAACATGGTGAACTTGTTCCATTTCTCTGCATCTTGCTAGCAGAAGATAAGACACTAGATCTTGGCCACTTCCTATGCTTTAACTCTCAAAGAAGAATTTGTGTTAATCGTATGCTGCCTGTACTAAGAAGTTTTTATATTTTAATTTTCGGATGTCTATTCATTATAATTAAAATCACACAGCTGAGCTCATTTTAGAAAAAGACCTATCATCATTTTGATACAAGTTAGTTTATTCTACAGCACCTGCTTGTAAATTTTTTTTAAGTAATAATAAAAAAGAAGTGGCTGGGTGTAGTGGCTTACACCTGTAATCACAGCACTTTGGGAGGCTGAGACGGGCAGATCATGAGGTAAGGAGATCGAGACTATCTTGGCTAACATGGCGAAACCCCATCTGTACTAAAAATTTTAAAAATTAGCTGGGCGTGGTGGCATGTGCCTGTAATCCCAGCTACTCAAGAGGCTGAAGCAGGAGAATTACTTGAGCCCAGGAGGTGGAGGTTACAGTGAGCCAAGGTTGTGGCCCTGCACTCCAGCCTGACCAACAGAGTGAAACTCCCTCTAAAAAAAATAAAAAAGAGGTCTATCAAAAATGACAAAATTAAGAACTACACATTAAGCATAAATAACCTGAATTTGTCAAGTTAACATAAACATGTTTGTAATGACAAATTAACTACTAGGACCAAATAGAGAACTATTTAGATATTATCCAATAAATAACACAACGAAAGAGTTTTCCCAAAGATTTATTGAAGCAGAAACAAGTTGGTCAAATACTTGCTAGAAAAAAAAGCAGTTTTAATGATATTCAAAATACTTTTTAAAAAGTATCCTAGCACAAGATTTTTCTGTAAACTAGATTATATTGTAAACTTTTTTCTAAACCTTTTAGGAGGGTCGGTTGTTAAGAACTAGAGCCTATTTCTATTCCAAATCTATCTTGCGCTCCTGAAAAACTGCAGAAAGGCACTTGAAAGCTGTTTCTTTAAGATATGGATTTTTTTGTTATTCTTGCTGGTAATATATTGCTCCACAGAGTGTGGGCAATTTTTATTCAAGGTCATCATGATGCTGAGAAGTTTCGTTGATAACCTGTTTAAAAAAACAAACCAAAATAAATATAATGCCACATGCTAAAGATTAAATTATCCTCTATATCATGGCAGATAAAAATCTTGCTAAATATATATAATTTATTGTGCAACTCAGAAGGTTATGTTGGTTCTACAAGAGTGAAAGCTAGGAGGGACAGACATATGAGAGTCTCTTCCACTAAAGGCAATATAAGTATCCAGTGGAATGCTGTAACTTACAAAAAGACATTCTTTAAAAAAAAAACACTGTGTTTATGAAGCTCTCTTCTACTAAAGGCAATATAAGTATCCAGTGGAATGTTGTAACTTACAAAAAGACATTCTTTAAAAAACAAACTATGTTTATGAAGAATAGCATAACAGTTGTACACAGCCAAGTTTAAAAGTAATTAAGACCTATTAAAAGTACAGCAAGCACATTTTAAATTTATGTGCAAGGGAAGATTTCATGAAGACTACAATAAATTGCAACTCTTTCTTTCCTGTCATAGGGAGGTAATAATAAACTAAATGATCGTATGGTACATGCTTGTATTATATAGATGGGTTTAGGAATCTATACTTAAAGTATGAAGGTAGGAGGATGCCATATGTCCAGGATCAAAACATTTCTCATATTTAGGTAATCCATTGAAGCTGTTTCATGAAGCTGCTTTAGGAAGTAGCTTAAGGAAGCTTACTCCTACTTCAAATTGAGCACCAAAGCAAGTCGCTAATTTTGGAGTACAGGAGGATTGCTATCTCAACTTCACATCCAGGAGCCAAATAATTAGTTGGCTGTGTGTACTGCTGGAAGAAGGAGCCTATTCTTTTTTTAGTAGGCATGAGTGAAACCTGAACCTCTCAAATTAGCTAGCTGTATCTGAGATGCAGATTCATTGATTAAAAAAGATACGAACTCCTGTCTGAGATTACTCTATTTTTTTGCTTAAAAGATACCAACCTGTCCATCTCTAGTTTCAACCGTCTTAATCAGAAGTGTCCTTTTTGAGTGTGTGTCAACCAGAGGGAGTGAATCCAGATTAGTTTCTAAATAAACAAACAGGCCCAAAATGAGTAAAAATGAAATTTTTCTTAGAGAAACCAAGTAGCCATATTACTGAAACAACTATGATTTGTGGGGAAGGGGGAGTTGTGTAAAGTGCTGCTCCCCAAATAATTTTAGAGTATTCTCTGTTTGCAAACCCAGGGCCTGACACATTTACGCATCAGGATGAGATAGTACTTCCAGCAGGAAGAAGGAAAACGGAGTTTGCATTTAACTTAAAGCAGAGAATGTAAGCATACTTGGGTTTAAAAATTATAGATGCTGTATAGAATTTTCTCTTACACAGCATTTTTCCGATATGTTAAATATAAATGAATGCTTTGACATAAACACAATGGTCACAAGCTGCTGACATTTCTCATAAAGGGAAATAAAATGCTTACCCCTCAGGTTCAGGGAGGAAAAGTTTGGAAGAGGCAGAGAAATCCTGTAAACAGATAAAGAAAACCAGTAAAATGGTTAGAAAATAACTTCATCTGCAGAAACAAATTAATACTCTTCTTGTTTTCGTCATGTAAGAAAATGTACTGCTGTAAGTCATAAAGTAGGGATTCGTTTTGGAAGCATTTTCCCATGACTGGTCTTGTTAGTACATTTAAAATATTTTACTACAAGCATTTTCTCCACAGGAACACGAGCAGGAGTTAGAAGAGTGAAGGCTTTGACAGGGTTGTGGGTTCAAATCCCAGCTCTGCTGTTGATTAACTTTTACATCAGCAAGTCATTCACTCTCTCTCAACCCAAATTCCTCCTCTACAAAAGTGGAAAGTAGTTACCTTAAAGGAACTTCTAAAAATTAAATGTGACACTGTGCTTAGAGCCCAATGGTTCATGCATTCAAGTCAGCTCCTACCTGCTCTCCTCGCCTTCCAGCAGCTTCCTGTAGGTGGCAATCTCAATGTCAAGGGCCATCTTAACATTGAGCAGGTCTTGGTATTCACGAAGGTGACGAGCCATTTCCTCCTTCATGTTCTGAATCTCATCTTGCAGGCGGCCAATAGTGTCTTGGTAGTTAGCAGCTTCAACGGCAAAGTTCTCTTCCATTTCACGCATCTGGCGTTCCAGGGACTCGTTCTGCAGGAGGTGAGAAAGGTTTCTGGTGTTATTTCTCAGAAAAACCCAGTGATTTCCAGAACCATTTACAGTCTTCTTGCAGTAATTTCCATTAGTGGCAAAGGATAACTACTCTAGTTGTAGGTGGAGAATCTAAGTACCAAGTCCTCCGTATGAGAAGCAATGATATACACAAGCGAAAACCTTCAAGAGCTCCATCAAGTCCTTCTGAGTTTGTCTTAAGTGATTTTCTTTGCATTACCGTATAAATTTTTATTCACTCAGTATTTTGTTCAGGCATTGCCATTAGCATAGTCAACAGAATGGGTCATTATTTCCCCTCTTTTACTGCAGGGTTGGTACTCACGGTTCCTTTAAGAGCATCCACTTCACAGGTGAGGGACTGCACCTGTCTCCGGTACTCATTGGACTCCTGCTTTGCCTGGCGTAGGGCATCATTGTTTCGGTTGGCAGCCTCGGAGAGGTCGGCAAACTGTCGGGAAGAAAACAGAAATGTGCATGGCTCCCATTCCAGTCTTTTGACTCTCTTAGAAAAAAAAGATCATATTTCTCACTGAATGTCTTCCAGTATAGGCTTAACTTTCTGTTTGAAAGCCAGAGAAAGAGCAGTGGAACACTGACATGACTATCTTCAGAGTTCACTCTACTGTGCTCATTTAAACACAGTGGAGGTCAAAGTATGGCATTGGGGTTTACTTGGAGGCAAGGTTAGGGGGAAGGGAGTCTACCATTCTGAAGGAAGTGCTATGGCCAGGAGTGGTGGCTTATGCCTGTAATCCCAGCATTTTGGGAGGCTGAGGCAGGCAGATCACCTGAGGTCAGGAGTTCAGGACCAGCCTGGCCAACATGGCGAAACCCCATCTCTACTAAAAATACAAAAATTATTCGGGCATGGTGGTGCTCACCTATGGTCCGCGCTACTTGGGAGGCTGAGGCAGGAGAATTGCTTGAACCCAGGAGGTGGAGGTTGCAGTGAGCCAAGATGATGCCACTGCACTCCAGCCTGGGCAGTAGAGCAAGACTCCATCTCAAAAATAAATAAATAAATAGATAGATAGATAGATAAAGGAGGTGATGTGAGTGGTGGGGAGGCCCTGGCAACACACACAGTGTGAGCAACAAGTCAAAGCCAGCGTTCAACTGGAGCTAGAGGATAGTTAGGAATTACACACAGGTATGGTGTTTTGAGAACTCAATGCTTTTCTGTGCCAGCCGCAGGGACTTGTTACCTACCTTAGACTTGTACCATTCTTCTGCCTCCTGCAGGTTCTTGGCAGCCACACTTTCATACTGCTGACGTACGTCACGCAGGGCAGCCGTGAGGTCCGGCTTGGAAACGTCCACATCGATCTGGACATGTTGTTCCTGAATCTGAGCCTGCAGCTCCTGGATTTCCTGAAAAAAAAAAAAAAAAACAGATAGAAGGTCAGCTGTGCCAACCGTGGAGGTTGCCTTACCTCATACATTCCCTGAAAGACACTCTACTAACCTCTTCGTGTATTTTCTTCAAAAAGGCAATCTCTTCTTGCAAGGATTCCACTTTGCGTTCAAGGTCAAGACGTGCCAGAGACGCATTGTCAACATCCTATTTTGAACAGAGAAAAGACAGGACATGGAAGATGTAAAAGTCTATGACTTCTCTCACTTATTCATCTTAGATTAACCATCTAAACCTAGTCTCCCTACTATAGAAAAGGCGTTGACAAATTTTACCATTTTACCACCCTTGAATAAGTTTACAAATCATTTAGTGCTATCATATGCTATGCTTTCTCCTGCTCACCAATGAATTTTAATTGTGACCCCTTGTGTTTTACTCAAGTTGGTGATTGGACAATTTAAAGATACATAAATGTCCACAAATGTGGTAAACTGTACTCAATCAAGACTGAATCCACATTTTACCAGTGACATTTTAAAATTACTTTTTTTTTTGAGATGGAGTCTCCCTCTTGTTACCCAGGCTGGAGTGCAATGGCACGATCTCGGCTCACCACAACCTCCGCCTCCTGGGTTCAAGCAATTCTTCTGCCTCAGCCTCCCGAGTAGCTGGGACTACAGGTATGCACCACCATTCCTAGCTAATTTTTTTGTATTTTTAGTAGAGACGAGGTTTCACCAATTTGACCAGGATGGCCTCGATCTCTTGACCTTGTGATCCACCCGCCCCGGCCTCCCAAAGTGCTGGGATTATAGGTGTGAGCCACCGCATCTGGCCTAAAATTACTTTTTAAGGCTGGGAGTGGTGGCTCATGCCTGTAATCAACAAAATCCAACCTGTCTAGATCAGGGGTCAGCAAACAGCAGCCCGTGGCTGTCTATATTTGTAAATAAAGTTTTACCGAAGTCCAGGCATGGTGGCTCATGCTTGTTAATCCCAGCACTTTGGGAGCCAGAGGCGGGGGGATCACCTGAGGTCAGGAGTTCGAGACCAGCCTGGCCAGCATGGTGAAACCCCGTCTCTACTAAAAATACAAAAATTAGCTGGCTGTGGTGGCACATGCCTGTAGTCCCAGCTACTCAGGAGGTTGAGGCAAGATAAGTTCAACCTAGGAGGCGGAGGTTGCAGTGAGCTGAGATTGTGCTACTGTACTCCAGCCTGGGTGACAGAGAAACAGTCTGTCTCCAAAAAATTAATTTAATTTAATGTAATTACTTTTTAAATCTAGAAAATCTATGCCACAACATTTTTAAGATTTGTTTTGTAATTTCATGGAATAACATGATAATGGGGTGGACAAAATTTCACAGCTTCATGTACACTTGAGTACATAAAGAACATAAACTCATGCTTGAAGAGTTTTAGCTTTTTTTCTCCTCTAGAATCTTCTGAAACTCATCCTTAGGCTCCAGAGCAAATATGTAGCCCTCTGGCATCCATTGTACAAGGCTAGATTTATATTCAATAATAACCCAATTCAGGAATATGCGCACTGCCTAAGATTCAGTTCAGGAAAAAATGGAAAAGACATGTAATTCTCAATGTATTTGTTTTGCTTTCTCTGGTGGGGTTTTCTTCTAAAACTCCTTTGGCTCCTCCCATAAAGGCGTGTCTTTTTCTCTTGCTACTGTGTCACTTCAGTTAGCCCGTTTCAGAATGACTGGCCAAGCTTGCAGAGAAGGAAACTACAAGAATTTTTGCTGATTCAGCTGTCCTTCTATGTTTCCATTTGTAAATCACAACATTCCAAATCAGAATATGTA